AGGAAGGAAGGAAGGAAGGAAGGAAGGAAGGAAGGAAGGAAGGGTCTTCTACAGAGTAAATAAAGAGAAGGCAAAGACACAGACGAGTGAAAACAGCATTTGGGGAAATTGAAAGTCATTCCATACAGCTGGCACAGAAAGCACATGGAGCAAATGTGTAGAAGTTAAGTTGGAGAGGCATGAGGCAGGAGAATTAGCTTGGCACAGCTTCACTGAGTGGCTAAGGGAGAGAACGCGCATGTCATCCCTGGACTACGTTAACCTCCTTTCATGTTCAAATTAATGGAGAGAAGAAGCCAGTGAGAAAAAAGTGGACTAGAGAATCTCTTACAAGTTACAGTTTAATAGTCTCCCCCCCACCCCCGACACACACACACACACACACACACACACACACACACACACACACACACACACACACACACTAATAAATAAAACATTTTGACACCTATTAAGCTTCAAGACTTCAACACTCCTCATGCAGAGTATGAGTGCTCCAGGACAAGGATGGAGCACCCACCTCACACTTTTTTTTTCTCAGTGTTAAGACTATGGGTATGAGAGCTCAGCCATGTTTCCGAGGAAGAACTGAAGGTCCTCAATCAAGAACAGTCACTTTATGCCTCTCCCTGAGGGAAAAATGCTAATTTTCCCATTTAGAAAAGGTATGAGACATAGACTTTGTCCACAAAAAGCTTACAACTAGTCTAGATGGCAAAACAGAACTACGAACAATCCATATATAATATTCTAGAAGCATTGTCTACTTTCATCATAAAGTAGCAATGTGGGTAACTAATATTCGTAAAATTAAAATGGAGCAACAATACTAAGGTACTACCCACATAACCAACAAGTTCCAGAAGAGTCGAGAAGGGAAAGACCAATATTGACTGGTATTATCAAAGGTCACTATTATTAATACTCCCACTGTTTGGCACTCAGTGGATATTTCTTTTGGCCAAGCTCAATCCTTAGAAGGGAAACCTAGGCAGAAGCTTCTGACAGGCCACAATTATCTACTCCCCATTCATTCCTGTGCCAGTCCCCTTGTATAAACACTGTGATTTTCCACAGTCTACTGTGCCCACAGACAGTCCCCAAATGGTAGCCCTGGGCTTTTTACACCTTCCTCTATTGCTGGATGCTAAAGGGACTGGACAACGAATGAATGAATGAACAACCACCCTTCTACTACATACAATCCAGATCTCAATAAGCAGAAGTTAATAGTGGCAAATCAACCTTCCCAATGCTAAAGAACTCTCAATGACACCCTATATTCCACCTTAACAGAGATGTTGAGTAGGAGAAGCCCACTTTTGCCTTTTCACTCTTTCCCCCACATTCTCTACACACATATCAAGCTTCATCAAACTTTCCACAGGCAACTTTTTCAGGCAAAGGGCTTTCCAACCACACAAGCCACCTAACGCCCAAAATGCAGGTTGCCACCCAGGCACTCTGCCCAAATTTGTAGAAGAAAAAGAGAAATAGCAAATCCCCTACCTGTACCATAAACTGTTCCAAGAAAGAATTTTCTTCAAATGGCTCTGTCTTCAATCGACCTGTAATTAAGAAGAGATAGAGAAAGGAAACATGAGCCTAAGGATGGGCTTCATGCCTATCAGATGATAGGGAAAAGCCCAGAACTTCTAGGAAAAGAAGTCAGAGACCCTACACCCAGAGAGCCCTAGGACATAGAGAGAAGGGTTGAGAGTATAGGACAAACAGAAGGAGAAAATTGGAAGTGATTAGCAACACTGGTTCAGTAGTAGTTTACTCTAGAAGACTGACAAATGTTACATAGAACTTTTCCTGAAACAAGAGCTATAGAGGTTCCTCAGCTCTGGATCCCACATTCTGCTAACACAATTTTGGATAGCTGGTGGCCCTTTCCAAAGGCTTTCCTCCTCATTGTCTATAACATGTCTGGACATGGCTATGGCTTCAGCTAGGTACCTGAGGCAGACAGAAGGGACATCCAGTATCAAGTACCCAGCTGCTAGAGTACCTAGCACCTGTTTGTTGTTTTGTTTTTTTTTTTTTTTTTTTTTTTTTTTTTTTTTTTTTTTTTTGAGACACGGTCTAATGTACCCCAGACTAGCTCTGAACTTACTGTGTAGCCAAGGAAACTTCCTGTCCCTATCTCTTGAGTGCTGGGATCATATGTGTATACCAACACTCTCTTTTATGCAGTTCTAAGGACCAAACCCAGGAGCTGGAGTGTGCTAAGCAAGCATCCCACCAACTGATCCACACCTTTAGCTCAAGAAGTATCTTTAATGCAAATTATACTCTGTAGGGGACAGTAAGCCACGACTGTTAGAGGCTGGCTACAGGTGTGTCTGACCACGCCTGTGAAGGCATGGTCAAGGTGAGGTCAGGATGGGATGGGATGGGCTCTTAAGGGGCTGCAGAGCACATGGGAAGCCCCTTTCTCCCTGGCCTCACTGCTTGTCTGCCCTGGGCACGCTCTGGGTTGCATTTGGCTGGTATTTATCTCAATAAAGATATCTTGACCTTACAGACTATAGATTGTCTGTTGTGGTCATGCAGCAATACTCCCCACCCATTCTTCCAAGTATGCCCTCTTACTTCGGCTCAGCACAGCCCCACTCTCCTGGTAGCCCTGGATCTCTAGGTCCTTCATCCGAAGCAATGCTGCTAGCTCCCTCCCATGACACTGCAATGCCAGGCTCACACCGATCAGAGGACGAATCAAATGCTGAGAGACCTTTGATGAAAAGAAGTATCAATTAACCAACAGATGCTCGAAAAGTACTCTCAAATGCTGTACTAGCTACTAGAAGAAAAATACTCAGGAATAAACATTTTCACAGGAACTTACAATTTCATAGACAAGCAATTCATTTACAAACACAATAGTTAAATTTACATGTTAAAAAGACCCAGGGATTTTCTTTGTGGCCAGGTATGGAATGGGAAGAATAAAACAAGAATAGGGATGGACAGAAAATCTACAGTTCGGGAGAGATGGCTCAATGGTTAAGAACACTGGCTGCTCTTCCAGAAGGCACAGGATCTATTCTCAGCACCCACATAACAGCTCACAATTGTCTATAACTCCAGATCAGGGGATCATGAACTCTCTATTTGCTTCCACAGGCCCTACATGCACATGGTGCACAGACAAAACACCTATACACACACAAAGATAAAGGAAAATCTTAAAAATAAAAGGGCGATATAGTTGAGAAGAGGGACGTGATGACTCAAGATAAAAGCAGAACATTCAAGGAAACCCCAACAAGGGGTGCGGCTGAAGCAGCACACCAAGAGGAGGAAAAAAACAGCAGAAAGATCTGGATATGGACTAAGAGCTGTTTCAGGGTTAAGAAGAGGTCAGAGTTTCAACCTATTCCCACAAATACAGAATAATTTAAAGTTACTGTTAAAAAAAAAAAGCCAGTTACCAAGAGACTAGAGTGGGAAGAAACAAACCAGCCCACTCCACACACAGTACAGATACACCGAGCACTCATGCAATAATGTATGCTCACACAGAATCACTTAAGCCACCTATGCAAGGTGTCCATTAGTCTGTGGTTAGAGGATGCCATCAGTTTCTTTCGCTTCCACCAGGGGCATGAACTAAAGAACACTAAGCAAAAGAGATGCCCTAGATCAGGAGGGTCAGCAAGCTTTTCTCAGCAAGAGCCAGATAGTCAATATTTTCAGCTTTGTGGCCCACAGAGTCTCTGCCGCAACTACTCAACTTTGCTGTTGCGGCATGTGAAAGCAGCCACAGACAATATGTAAACAAATGAGGTGGCTGTGCTCCAATATAACTCTACAAAAGCAGGCAGCAAGCCAGATTTGGCTTGCTGGCCATAGTATGCTTATCTCTAGCTAGATCTAAAATAAGGAGCATTTTAGACAAGGCACCCCAACATGGGCTTGAAATAAGGAGGAAGTACACAAGTATCTGAGGCACCAGGCAGACTCACCTGGGTCAAGATCCTAAGCAATGATTCCCCAGGCGCCCATGTTTTTGCTTCCCATTAAGTCTCTAGAGAAAACTAAAAGTGCAGCTTGTGTGGCAGCTCAGGCCATAAGGAAAAGACTTTCCTATGTTTCTCTAAAGATTTGGTCAGAAGAGGAAAAAGACCGGATGTGGAGGGCAGGTGAGAGCAGTAGCTCTTTGTACCGGACCCAAGAAATGTAGGTGTCCTGGCACAGGGTGTTAAGGGTGAAGTCTAGTTCAGCTATTGGTAATTTTTACTTTTTTGTCACTGGCACATACCAGCCTGGTACTGTCTCCCATCCTAGGTCCTCAGGAAGGACTTAGGCCTCCAAGACATACCACTCAGAACTCCTGGTTTTAAGACATATCCTAGGCCTGTGAGATGGCTCAGCAAGCTGCCAAGCTTGCTGACCTGAATTCAATCCCCCAGACCTACTCAGTAAAGGGAGAACTCATTCCTTGCAAGCTGTCCTCTGACTTCCACATGTACCCTGTAGCACTCATGCACACACATAATAAGTAACTCAAAACAGTGATTTTAAAAAGTAAGTATAAAAAAAAATAAGATGGTCTAAGCTCAACTCTATGCCCTAAGAACTATTTTGATAAATTTGGTCCAGGTCAAGGTAGATTAGAAAAACAGGCAAATAACTGTATGAAAGCCAATGGAGGTTTGGTGGATTGAACTGAAAAATAATTATCATTGCTAACCTAGCAGCCACAGTGGCCCTTTGGTGGCACCCCTCAAATAACAGAAACTCCTAATGTTAATAACCAGCCTCTCACCATGGTGGGTTGGAGAGCACCACATTTGAGGTGCTAAATATAACAACATGAAACATGGCAAGGAATAGTTTTTAACCAATACCTACCATGTCTATTGAAATAAGATATCATGGTCTCAGGCAACTGAAATGATCTATTGGACTACAACATCAATATAGAAAAAAGGTGTTTTTTAATCAGGAAATATTTCAACTTCCCAAATAGAATTCCTGAGCTATAATTAATTTCAAAGTTAGATAAACATTAAAATGATTTCTCTTGGGCCTGAGAGGGTTTCTCTGTTTTTAAACTTAGATGAATGTTAGTTAGAAGTCAACAAAATATGTATAAATTGCCATTTTAAAAAAGACTGGTATAAAAATATAAAATAAAACAAAAGACATGCAACCATGTAGAAAGATCAGTATACCTCCAAAGGCATAACAAGGAAAAACTATGCAGTGCTTTAGGTAAGGGACACCCTCTTTCATTCATGGAAGCGAAATACAAAGACATGTACTTACAAGCCAATTCAGTCCATACCCACTCGGAACTAGGCTCTGCCTTTGAAGAGCTTGTGATAGGCCAGGAAGTGTGGTGGGTACAACAGAAGCTACCACTAGTCCCCAGAGGGGGAAATACTTGTAATCCCACCCCCTAAAATCTTCTGATTTTCTGAAGAATATTTGTGAGTCCTAGGCAGGGGAGATTTGGCCAAATACAGGCTGGAGAGATGGGTAGGGGTTATGAGCACTGCCTGCTGCTCTTGCAGAGGACCTGGGTTCAGTCCCTAATATCCACACAGTGGCTCACAACCGTCTGTAACTCCAGTTCCAAGAAATCAGATGCCATCTCTGGCCTCTTTGGACACCAGATATGCACATGATGTACATACGTATGTACATACATGCAGGCAAAATACTCATACACATAAAATAAATAAATCTAATAAAAACTTAAACAGAAAAAGCAGGGAAAACAGTTATATTGGATACTAAAAAGAACAGGCAATAGGAAAAAGGGATCAGTAAAGAGAAATTTGTCACAAGTAGAGATAGATGCAGAATCATGAAGCAGAGACCCAAAGCCTTACATATTCCACAATTACTACAGAGAATTACGAACTATTAAGTTCCTCAAACTTTATAACACATGTGATGGCTCACACCTGTAAAATCAGCATCTGGGAAACAGAGGCAGAAATATTTGAAACTTGAGCTGGGCTAACAGCAACATTCCATCAAGGAAAAGAAAAGTTGGCTGGGCGGTGGTGGCTCATGCCTTTAATCCCAGCACTCAGAAGGCAGAGGCAGGGGTATCACTGTGAGTTTGAGAACAGCCTGGTCTACAAGAGCTAGTTCCAGGACAGCCTCCAAAGCCAAAAAAAAAAAAAAAAAGAAAAGAAAAGAAAAGAAAAGAAATTGATGGCCAGGAATGTGCCTCAACTCATACAGTGTTTGTCTTGAATGCATGAAGCCCTAGGTTCAATCTCCAGCACCACAGAGAACCCAGCAGCTCTGAGGAGATGGGGGCAGGAGGAAAGAAATTGAAGGGTCTTTGGCTACATTGTGATTTTGAGGATAGCCTGGACTAAATGTGGTTGAGAGAGAGAGAGAGAGAGAGAGAGAGAGAGAGAGAGAGAGACTAAACAGAAAGTTAGTATCAGTAATTGCTTTAGAAGGAAAAAGAGAGAGTAGACAGAAAGCCCATTTGTGTCTTAAACTGTATACCTTTAAATGCTGCATGAAATGTTTGTCTTTGGCATGAATTACCCATTCAAAAAAAAGTAAATGAAAACTATCACAAGAATGAATAACAGACAAAACTTCCAACCGCATGATCTCACAGCCACACACACACCCGCCTAAAGTAGTAGCCGCCTACATCCCTGAGAGTGTCTACCAGCTATAGCTTCTTCCCTGCAAAGTTCCCTGCAGCCTGGGGTTTCCCTGGGATAACAGTCTTCTTTGTCTCATGATAAGGACTTTATCTGAACTTAAAATATACTTGCTAACCAATTGTTTTAAGCCAATGTCTCCCTGTGGCCAAGCAAACCTCACTTTCCTCTAAACACTAAAGCATGTTTCCATGACAGATCCTCAGCTGGAAGACTGCACTACGATAATTACCTTTGCCTTTAATTTTTCCTCAATTGTTCTATCATTACTCAAGTGTTCTTTATTACCTTCCCCCTGCCCTTGCCCCCCCACCAGGGCTGGTGCTCCTGGGCCATGCTAAACAAGTGCTCTAACACTGAGCTGGCCACATCCCTGACTTACTCTGTACTTTTGAAAGAAGAAATTACTATAGGAAACCGCCAGGAAAGCTGTCTCCCCACTCACACTAGTCTGAATTTGTAGGACGGTATAATATACAAAGAGACTAGCTATCAATAGGGATTCTCAAATGGATGGATGCCAGAATAAGCATCATTGAGGAAACAGTGCCCCCTGGTGTTGCCTAGAAAAAGAAAACAGGGGCTTTGAATGACTGAAATTCTGCATATAAAGTAAGATGGAAGAGTTCACAAGAAATTCAATTAAAGTCAACAAATGTGAGGGCTAATTACATAACAGGACTTGTTGATGGGCCTTAGAAATTTCTTCATAAAGTCAGTGACAATGGTGCACACCTGTAGCCATGGCTACCTGGGAGACTGTGTTGGTCTTGCCCCATGAGTTAGAGCCAGCCTTGGCAACATTGGAGAACACCCTTAGCCGGAGTATGGCTCAGTGGAAGACTGCATGCCTAACACGTGTGAGGCCCTAGGCTCAATCCCCAGTACCACAAACAAACCAGTGGTGAATGAGTGGCTCTAGCACTCAAGTATGGCTTTGCTAAATTATAGACAGACAGACAGACATAAATACCAGCAAACAGTCTTTCAAGAAGTCCTTTGCTGGCTGGAGACATGGTTCAGAGGTTAAGGGCACTTGCTGCCCTTCCAAAGAACACAAGTTTGGTTCCCAGCAAACACTGTAACTTCAGGTCCAGGAGATCTTTTGGCCTCTCAAGTACACAAACCCACTCACAGAAATACACATAAGTAAAAATTAAAATCTTTAAAAGAAAAGAAGTTCTTGGTTTCATTGTTCCATCTACACTCTCTCTCTCTCTCTCTCTCTCTCTCTCTCTCTCTCTCTCTCTCTCTCTCTCTCTCTCTTTCTCAATTTGTTGTTTTTTATTTTGTTTTATTTTTCAAGACAGGGGTACTCCATGTAGCCCGAGCTGTTCTGGAACTCACTCTGTAAACCAGGCTGGCCTCAAACTCAAGAGAGTCTGCCTCCCAAGTGCTGGGATTAAAGGTGTGTGCCACCACCACCCAGCTCCATCTGTTCATTTATTGGTGCCAAACTATCACATCACCTATAGGAAACTTCAAGTAGACTATACCTTGACGTGGGAACTAGAAAGTGATGCATTTGCAGATTGCTCTGCTGGACAGACAATCTGCACCCTATGCCTCTCACTGAACTCTGATCCCTGAGTGTTACTGAATACAACAGCACTATTTATTGAATCTTAAAATTACACACACACACACACACACACACACACACACACACACGTATAAGATATAGTATCGTTTGTTTAACCATTCACCTCTTGGGTTATTTCTGGCTTGGGAACAAAGACAGCAGGACTAGAGAGTTAGCTCAGCAGTTAAGAACACTTGCTGCTCTTCAGATGACCTGGGTTCGTCCAATTCCCAGCACTCACATGGCAGTTCACGACTATCTGCAACTCCAGTTCCAGGAGGTTTGATCCCCTCTTCTGGCCTCTGCAGGTATCAGACACACTTGAAGTACATAGACAGATATGCAGGCTAAACACACACACACAAAATAAAGTAAAAACAAAAAGCCACAGTGGACATTTGTGAAGAAATCTTCGAGTGGTTCTATGTGGGGAAGGGGAGCTGAGAAAGTCGTTTCTTATTTGTGATACTGGGTCTTACTGTGAGGCTCTGGTCAGCTAGAACTCACTACATAGCCTAAGCAGGCCTCAGACTCATGGTGCTCTTCTTGCCTCTGCCTCTAGAATACTGGGATTAAAGGCATGCACCTCTATTCCTGGCTAGACATGTGTTTTCATTACTCTGAAGCAAATATCTAGGAATCAAATGACTGGATTAACTAGAGTATACTCAACCTAAAAACAAAAGTTGGGGACTGGAGAGATGGCTCAGAATTTAAGCTCACTGACTCTCTTCCAGCAACCATATGGTGGTTCACAACCATCTATCATGTGATCCTGTACCTCTTCTGGCCTGCAGGCATACATTCAGGCAGAACACTGCATACATAATAAATAAATAAATCAGAAAACAGCTGACCCAAGCTAGTGGGAGCTCACTGAATCTGGTAGGTGGCTTGGGCAGTTTGTGGGGCCACTGGCAGTGGGGCCAAAATCAAGTCAGTAGTGCTTGTCATACAATCATAAAGACCTGAGTTTGTAGCTCCAGAACCCACATAAAAAATGGTGAGCAGTTCAAGGCCAGCCTGGTCTACAGAGTGAGTTCCAGGACAGCTAGGGATACAGAAAGACCTAAACAAACAAACAAAAAGTGGTAAGCATCTGTTATCAACACTTCGGAGGCAGACAGGATGGTTTCTGGGGATTACTGGCCAGCCAGTCTATCCAAATCAGCAAGCTCCAGGTTTAGTGAGAGACTGTCTCAAAAAACAAGGTAGAGAAATGATTAAGGAAGACACCTGAAGCTGGACAATGGTAACACATGCCTTTAATCCCAGCCTAGTCTACCTAGTGAGTTCCACTTTAGCCAGAGCAACACAGAGAAACCCTGTGTGATGGTTTGAAAGAAAATGGCCCCCAAAAGGAGTGGCACTGTTAGGAGGTGTGGCTTTGTTGGAGTTAGTGTGGCCTTGTTGGAGGAAGTGCATCATTGTGGAGGCAGGCTTTGAGGTCTCATATATGCCCAAGATACCTCTCAGTGTCTCAGACTACTTCCTGTTGCCCTCTGATCAAGAAAGACATAACCAGCACCATGTCTGCCTGCATGCCACCATGTCCTATAATAACGATAAAGAACTGAACCTCTGGAAATGTAAGATACCCCCATTAAATGTTTTTTCCTTTATAAGAGTTACTGTGGTCATGGTGTCTCTTCACAGAACAGAAATCCTAACTAAGACACCCTGTCTTGGGGGAAAAAAAGGTGAGGGGAAGACAACAAATTTGACATTTGACCTCTACACATAATCTAACCATTTGCACATGCACCTGGCACATATGCTCATGCATTGTTCTCCAAACTGCCTGTGGTAGTTTGAATGTAATTGGCCCCCATATGCTCATAGGGAGGTGTGGCTTTGTTGGAGGAAGTATGTCACTGTGGAGGTCTCATAGATGCTCAAGCCACTCCCAGTGTTTCAGTTCACTTCCTGTTGCATGCTAATCAAGATGTAGAATTCTCCAGCACCATGTCTGCCTACACACTGCCATGTCCCATCATGATGATAATGACTAAACCTCTGAACTGTGAGCCAGCCCAACTAAATGTTTTCCTTCGTAAGACTTGTTGTGGTCATGGTATCTCTTCACGGCAATAGAAACCCTAAGACATTATATTCCCATCAACCACAGTGGATCAGTGGATATCTGGAAGAAATTCAAGGCTTCTAGTTTAAGTCTTATAGACTATCTCAAATCCTAAAAGAGATGAAAATAGGATTCAACCCAGATATACTAAATCCAAAGTCGGTTTTTTTTTTTTTGGTTTTTTATTTTTTCTTTCTTTTTTTATTTCCAGGTAATAGCCCTGGCTGTCCTGGAACTCTCTCTGTTTACCAGGTTGGCCTTGAGCTCACAGAGACCCATCTGCCTCTGCCTCCTGAGTGCTAGAAATAAAGGCATTCACCACACCCAGCAGTTGGTTTGTTTTGAGACAGAGTGTTATGTAGCCCATGCTATACTCAAACTCATTATGTAGCTGAGGATGGCCTTGAACTCATGATCCTCCTGCATCTATCTCCCTAGTGCTGATTACAGACATGTGCAATCATTCCCAGCTTTGAAAATTTGTCTTCCTTTGTTTTTTGAGACAGGGTATCTCTACTATGTAGCTCTGGCTGTCCTGGAACTTGCTACATTGACCAAGCAGGACTTAAATGCTGGGATTAAAGACATGTGCCACCACACCTGGCTGAAAATTTGTTCTTCAATTTATTATTAGTTACTAATATGTTTTTTTTTTTTTTTGAGACAGAGTTTCTCTGTGTAGCTTGGGAGCCTGTCCTGGAACTCGCTCTGTAGACCAGGCTGGCCTCAACTCACAGAGATGTGCCTGCCTCTGCCTCCTGACTGTTGGGATTAAAGGCATGTGCCACCACGGCCCTGCTATTACTAATAAAAGTTCTTGGGGCACTAAAGCTACAAGCAAGAGGAAGACATTACCCTCTAGTCTGTAAAAGAGACCTTTAAAGTTGACTAAACTAATGCAGAGTCCAAATTCCAGCTCAGTTACGATAAGCTGGATGGCTTTGGACAAGTTACTATCAATCTTGGTTTCCTGTTCTGAAAAAAATGGAAATAATAATATCTATCTTATAAGAAAATCTATCTTATAAGAAAATCATAAGGACAAAAAGAGGAGAAACACTTAGAAAGGTATCACACGCCACCCTATTATCAAAGTGGTCTTGATAAATCACAGCTTGGAACTATTAAAGCCTTTGGTAAGCCAGGTATGGTGAATCTCAGCATTTGGAAGCTGAGGCAGGAGGACTGCTTCAAGTTCAAGGCAAACCTGGGCTATACAGTGATTTCAGGTCAATAATAAAACACTCAAAAAAAAATCAAGAAAAGTGAACATGGTATTAGGCGGTTTTTGAGTGCAAGGGGGAAAAAGGTTTAAAGGAAAACCCAAAAAAAAAAAAAAAAAAAAAAAAAAAAAAACGAAAGAAAACCTGGGGATATACTCAGTTGGTAGAGTGCTTGCCCAGCACCAAACCCTGGGTTCAACCCCTCATAAACTGAGCATGGTGGTGTATCTGTAACACTCAGGTGAAAGAATGAGGTCATCCAAGAATAGTCTAGCATACATGAGACCCTGGCATTAAAATAATAATATTGGATGAAGTCACCAAATACAATGTGAAGATCCAAACTCTGCTCCCTTTGCAAGACAAAGCTATACCAGTCAAAAATCCTCATAGCCGCTAGTCTAGTCAAGGAAATTTCTTTTTCTTAGAAAAGAATTTCAGCCAGGTAGTGGTGGTGGTGCATGTCTTTAATCCCAGCACTTGGGAGGCAGAGGCAGGGGAATCTTTGTGAGTTCAAGACCGAAGCGGTCTACAGAGTGAATTCCAGGACAGCCAAAGCTACACAGAGAAACCCTGTCTTGAAGAAGAAAAGAAAGAATTTCGGGAAACATAAGGGCACCCACCTGCACCCATATCTACATTGCACTTACCAGTGAAGAACTAGCCGGAGTACAGTGGAAATGCCAATTGAAGGGGAGCCCAGACAGCTCGCTCCGCACCCGAAGAACCAGTGCCTCTGCTTCTCGATCACAGGAGAAGGTAGCTTTGCTAGGATGAGCAGCATCCTGGTGAGCAGAATCTTTAAACAATGGGAGAAGCAGCTCCTCCAGATGGTGCAGAAAAGCTGAGGGGGGAGCAGTTAGACGCTTGTTCAGCTCCTAGAGAGACAGAGTGAGGGCATTAAAAGGAAACTCCTCAAAGGCAAGAGCAAAGAGGAATCCAGGAAGACAATGGCCAGGAGAGGAAGGGAAGGCAAAGGGTAAAGCACTGCAGCAAAATGAAGACAAGAAAAAGAGTTGCAAAGATCAACTAGCCTGCTCCACAGTTCTGGGAAAAGTCAACTTACTGAGGGCCTGTATAAATCATATAATACAGATGACAGTATGCATTATTGTTCATGCAAAATCAGTCTCCCCCCTCTCTCTTCAGAAATGTTTTAGATTTCTAAATTTCTTGGATTTTTGAATATATGTATAGATTTTCACCAGTTGTACAACTCTAGTTGGATAGTCCCCAAATCCAAAATCTGAAATGACCTGAAAACTAAAACTTTTTGAGAGCTTGAGCATTGAGGATGTAAAAACTTTCATATTTTAGATCATTTCAGATTTTGCATCCTTAGAATAGAGATGTTAAGCCTATAATTGCTTCAAACCAATTCAACCTTCCTTGCCAACATATAGATAGACAAGTTGATGGATGTTAATGTCATATGAGGCCAGCATATCACACCACAGTGATACCTCTCTTCACAGTTATACTCTTACCTTAGCTCGCTGGCTGACCACCAAAGTATCCACCTGCTCATGCCACACCTGTTGAAGATCCGAAATCAGCAAGGCATACCCCTGCTTGGTGATAGATGCCTTGGCCAACAGTGAGTTCTCAGCAAGTTGTAGCCATGCCCATGGCTGCATCAACAGGCCTTGCTCTAGTTCTTCCATCTGCAGGAAAGTCCTAATTTAGCACAGTGCCTCTAGGAAATTCAACCTCTGAGAGGACCACTCACAATTCCATGTCAACTGAAATCATGTGAAAACCCTCCCCAGTAAAACAGAGGCATGAAAGCACACATGCCCCTTTATATAAACAGCCTAAATACCCCTTGACAACTGACTTAAAATTTATTTAGAATCTGAGGCTGGAGAGATGGCATAGAGGTTAAGAGCACTGATTTCTTTTCCAAAGGACTGGGGTTGGATTCCCAGCACCCACATGGCAGTTCATAACCATCTGTAACTCCAGTTCCAGGATATCTAATGCCCTCTTCAAGCACTGCACATGTAATATCTGAAAACATGCAGGAAAAAACACTCATACACATAAAATAAAAATAAGTAAAATCTTTTTTAAAGATCAGAGTATTTCTTACACTAAGTTCCTAAAGAACAGAAAACATGTCTTTACCAGGTATGGTGGTGCATGCCTGTAATCCCAGAATTGAGATAGGGGGCAGGGAGCTCAGGATTCCCAGGCCAGCTGCCAATACATGAGATAGACTCATCCTGGTGTAAAAGGAAGAGGGGATGAAGGAAAGAGGGAACAAAGGAGGAAGGGGGATGAAAGAGCAGATCCCTTTCTTCCATAGTGTTTAAACTCAGCATATTGATGCATTTAACGTACTATGGAAACCCGAGTCAATCCTATTGAATCTTTTCTTGAATCCTCTATATGTCGATGCTAACTTTCCCAGAACTTTTAGAAGGATAAGAATGATTCTTGTCTTGAAAAAAATTGCTGGGGCAGTGGTGGCACATGTCTTTAATTATTCTGGGAGGCAGAGGCAGGTGGCTCTCCAAGTTTGAGGCCAGCCTGATCTACAGAGTTAGTTCCAGGACAGCCAGGGATACACAGAGAACCCTCAAAAACAAAACAAAACAAAACAAAAACTAAATAAATAAAACTTAAGTCCTAAATGTGAGGGGCAGGACATTCAAATCATTTGGTTGCTAAAAGCAAAGTCTGGGTCAGTGAGATGGCTCAGCAGGAAAAGACACTTATGCCAAAACTGAAGACCTGAGCTGGCTCCATGGGATTCACATGGTAGAAGAAAGAATATCTCCCATAAGTCATCATCTGACCTCCACATGTGCACCAAAAAGTGCCTCGTTTCTTGTGTCTTGTTTTGTTTTTCAAGGGTTTCCTCCATGTAGCCCTGCCATCCTCTACCAGTCTGTAAACCAGACTGGCCTTGAACTCAGAGATCTGCCTGCTTCTGCCTCCTAAATTCTAGGATTAAAGGTGTGCACCACCACCACCTGTGCAATATTTTTTTAATATTAAAAAAAGAAGACAAAGCGCAGGAAGTTTGGAAGCAAATAATAAAATCCTAAAGCAGACTCGGTGATGCACATCTATAATCCCAACCCTGGGGAGAAGGAGGTGGGAGGATCAAAATTGGGCTGGGGAAATGGCTCTTCTGGTACAGAACTTGACTCACAAGGACCTGGATTCAGATCCCCAGAGCCTACGGAAAGCCTGGTGAGTGGTATGTACCTGTAGTCCCAGCACTAACAAGATCAGAGGCTGAGAAAGGAAGAGAAGCGGGGAGCTAGCTATCCAGGCCTACTTACCAAAGGTCTAGGCGGAGAGAGACTCTATCTCACACAAACAGTAGGAGGCACTTGAAGATCACTTCTAAGATTGCCCTCTGACCTATCTCTACATGCAGTGTACACACACACACACACACACACACACACACACACACGCAGGCACGCACATCCTTACCCCCAGATAAGAGAATATGAAATGAATAAATGAAATTAAAAAAATAAATGAAATTTTAAAAATCCCCAAATTAACCAAATTTCAATCTACATAGTGAGTTCAAGGCCAGCCTGGACTACATGGAAACCCTTCCAAAAACAAAACAAAACCAAAAAAAAAACAAAAAAAACAAAAAAAACCTAAAATGAGTTCCTTTTGAATTTTTAATTTAATTATTGTCTCCCAATTTCATACATATGTAATGTACTTTGATCATATCCCCCTTATCTAAAACGGAAATTGTCACTCAGATACTCAGAGTCTGCTCAAGCTACTTCTCTACAATTATGGAGAACTCAAGTGTGTATGCATTACGGGAGAAGCCCATGACTGTCATCACATTAAATGTGATGACAGTAATACAGTGACATGATAGATACACAGCGACACACACAAGGGTTAATAAGAGCAAGAGATGGGCTGGAGAGATGGCTCAGTGGTTAAGAGCACTGGTGGCTCTTCCCAAGGTCCTGGGTTCAATTCCCAGCAACCCACATGGTGGCTCACAACTGTCTGTAATCCAGCTCGAAGTGATCTGACACCCTCACAAGAGACATACATGCAGGCAAAATGCCAATGCACATAATAATAAATAAAGTCACCGAGAAAAATGCTGTGTCCTCAACCTAGTTAAATATATAATTACTAAGTCTGACAGAATTTATTTTTCCTGTATGAATAAAAAGCCATATAATTTCCTTATTATTTTCTTCTATAAATATAAAATGAAGAGAAGTGCCAAGAGGTGAAAAGTTAGACTACAAAGAAAATAATGAAATTTCTGTTTAAGTCTGATTAGCAGTTATTTCCAACTCAGTCTAAGTCATCAGTCTTCCTAGGTTTCAAAGCACCATCTCTTAATTTGCACTGTAACTAACAAAGTAGACTATAAATGTATATGGTCAGAAAGACTACATATAGGACAGCGATCCTTTAAGATCACAGAACCTAGCAGGGCGGTGGTGACACATGCCTTTAATTCCAGCACTCAGGAGGCAGAGGCAGGCAGATCTCTTGAGTTGGAGGCCAACCTGGTCTACAAAGCTAGTTCCAGGGCAACCAGAGCTGTTACAGAGAAACCCTGTCTTGAAGAAGAAGAAAAAAAGACAACAACAAAAAAGATCGTAGAACCTAGTGACATTGCTGCCATCTTGGTTCAAATATGTGTGCTGTGTGATTGCTGCACTGTAATGAAATGGCCCTATAACACAGTTCTCAAAAACACAGCCATTTCAAGAGATACATGACTGCATAGATGGTGGTTATTTGCCAACAGCCTTGAAACCGTTTGTGCAGAAATGGGTATTTCCATCATGTGCTGTTCCAACAGGGAAAACTGGTGTTGGGATGATTAAAGAGTTTTCGCTGGGCAAGAGTTTACATTGGAAAAGATTAGAAATAGAAATGAAGTTGCCAAACCCTCTAATTTCCCTTATAGGCACATCTGGCATGGACTCTAAAAGTCACCAAAATTGAATTTATTGCCCTAACTGGTCCTTCCTTAAGTCTTGAAGGTCAAAACCCACAAGTTGATGTTTTGTCTGAATGGGAGGAAGCTGTTTAATGTGGCCAGGGACAGCTGGCCCTATAAAAATGTGGCAAAGCATTCAGCATCAGACCCAGGCTGGCTGCTCCTATCACTCAGCCTGGACTGAAGTTAAGTGTAACTCGGTGAGTCAGGCATGATGAGGCATGCCTGTAATCCTAGCACACAGGAGGCTGAGGCAGGAGGATCTTAATTTGGAGACCACCATAGCAAGAGACTCTCAAAAAAAAAAAAAAAAAAAAAAAAAAGCTCAGTGTAATGGCTTGGGGCCTGAGATCTTCCCCAGCACGGAGGGAAAAGGAATCTAAGTCTTCTGGGTTTTACTTTCCCCAGCGCAAGTTGATCTTCAAAGAACTCCTTAACCAATTTCACCGGTTTAATTCTTTTAAGAGGGAGAAAGTGAAGTTGCAAGAAGTTCTGTCCCTCGGCCCTGTGCTCAGGGTAGTTCCTATAACACCCTGCAGAGGGCAGCAAGGCCCTACAGACCGTCCGGCGGGCCACGCCCTGTGCCACCAGAGAGGGCAAACCTAGGCCCTGAAGCCAGAGGCCACCCCGGGAACGCCGACGGCGTCCATCCACCACTCTTGCAGCGCCTTCGTCGCCGGCTGCACGCAGGTGTGGCTCAGGACCCCAAAGGGGTAACAAAGCTAATTCAGCCCAAAGGGTCGAAACATCGACCAGCTAAGGAGGAGCCTCCTACGACACCCGCGAAGACTGCGGCCGAAGGCGGACTGCGCACGCGCAGGACCGCCCACTCCTGGAGGCCTGCCCCAAAGCCCGGGTTGCGCGCGGTCCCTTCTGGGAAAAAGCACCCGGGTAGCGGGTCACCGTGAAAGTTTCTCTCCACTTTTCGGCGTGCGCCCGGACCCAAATCTCGGCGCCGACTCTAAATCGATCCCACCTACCGTCAACGGCTGCGGGAGCTCCCACCCTCCTCACGGCGGGGCTGCCCCCCT